AAAAACACCCACAGTTATAAACATGTATTTATTTTAAAAGGAATTTCTGTAGAAATAGTGTGAGCAGTTATTCTGCCTGGATTTAAACTCCCACTGCACCATCCATGAGCTGTAAGGCCGTGTGTAATTATTTGACCTCCCTCCGCCTCAGTTTTCTCATGCATAAAATGGGAATAATAAGAAAACCTCCTGTATTGGGTTGCTTTGAGGGTGAAATGAAATAATATATGTAATTGTTTAGAACCAGGCTTAAGACAGAGTAAGCACTCCATAAACAGTGGGTGTGGCAATTTGCAAATTAACCCTTAAGGGAATGACAAGAAAACCAGGTAAACTAATGACTATTTCCGACTTCCTAACCTGTTTGCTTCCCCTGCAGTGATTGTTTTTATGATGTGATTTTTAAAATGTGATACAAAGTTTCTAAGACACACAGCTCTCAAGATACAGTAGAACAGAAAAAGAAAAACCCGAACCTGGCCTTGTGAAGACTGAGAAAGATCATTCCAGACAAAGGCAATTCTAAGCGCAAAGGCCTCGAGTCAGGAGCAAACCTGAAGGTTCTAGGAAGAGAGAGAAGGGCCTGGTGGCTGGCGGGAAGAAAGCAAGACTGCAGTCAGATTAACCGTCTGCCTCGTGCATGATGCCCTCTCTTGCTCCAAGGACCTCTAACAACTCCCTTCTCTACAAAATATGGCCTGAACCTTTTCATCTGCTTTTCCACCGTTTTGTTATTGAGCTCCGGACTGCCTGGCAGTCTCATGCTGGGTAAACACATTGATGTCCTGTTTTCCAAAAAAGGTTGCAATCTTTTCAAGGACCGTCACCATGGTTTATTACGTGTCTGTTCATCCAGTGCCTCAGATACTTGCTGAGGGCGAAGTTTTACTACAATGCTAGGTGCCCAGAATTCACAGGCAGCAAAAGGTTACAAAAGAAGTAAGAGGAGCCCCGATCCCTGCTCTGGGGAAACTTCCCATCCAGAGTGCGGGAAGGTGGGGGGCTAAACTATGAAAGAGTTAGAAGGTAAGTAAAGGGTCAATTTTAAATGAAATTTTGAGAAAGATGAGATCATTGTGTATTAGAGTAGTCAGCGGAGGCTTCAGGCAGGAGATGGACTTTTACCTGGCCTTCAACAAATGATCAGCAGAGGTGAAGAAAAGATTTCTAAGAGGGTAGAACAGTGTTTGCAAAAGCCGAGAGGTGAGGATGCCTGAGGTGAGCGTGAGGTCCCGTGGGGAGGCGTGTGGGACAGGACATGGAACATAAGGAGAGTGGAGACCCAAAAGAATAGGGTCTTATTCTAGAACATCACAAAATCCAGGCACAGAGAGTCAGACCTGAGGGCAGTGGGGAGCTGAAAAAGACCATCAGAGGACTCTGTCCCCCCCAGGTCTGGGTTTCCTCTTTGATGTGGGGACACCGGCAGTGTCCTCCAGGTGTATCTCTTAGATCTCAGGCATGTGGGGCACTGGGAGACCCTCATTTCTTTTTTTATTGAAGTATAGTCAGTTTACAATGTTGTGTTAGTTTCCACTGTACAGCATAGTGATTCAGTTATATATATACATACACACATAGATTCCTTTTCATATTCTTTTTCATGATAGGCCATTACAAGGTATTGAATATAGTTCCCTGTGCTGTACAATAGGACTTTGTTGTTTATCTGTTTTATATATAGTAGTTAATATCTGCAAATCCCAAACTCCCAATTTACCATCCCACCCCCGCATAACCATAAGTTTGTTTTCTATGTCCATGAGTCTGTCTCTGTTTTGTAAATAAGTTCTTTTGTGCCCTTTTTTGCCTTAGATTCCACATATGAGTGATATCATATGGTATTTTTCTTCCTCTTTCTGGCTTACTTCACTTAGAATGACAATCTCCAGGTCCATCCATGTTGCTGCAAATGGCATTATTTCATTCTTTTTGTTTAATGGCTAAGTAGCATTCCATTGTATATATACACCACGTCTATTTTATCCAATCATGTGTCAGTGGACATTTAGGTTGCTTCCCTGTCTTGGTAAATAGTGCTGCTGTGAACATTGGGGTGCATGTAGCTTTTTGAATTAGTTTCCTCTGGAAATATGCCCAGGAGGGGGATTGCTGGATCATAGGGTAAGTCTACGGTCATAGGTAAATTTTTTAAGGAATATCCCTCCTTTCTTCTACCCAGAATCCAAGAGGAGCTGGCCAATCCGCCTGCCCATCGGCAGCTCTCCTGTGCTGCCTGGATGAGGCAGCCAAGGCGCGAGTAACAGTACTCAGCCGTAGGAAGCACAGATGCTCCCTGGTGACCTTATTGGTTGGGGCCAGCTGGCCCAAGGGGCAGGTTGTGCATTTTCTACCCATCCCGTGACCCACCTAGTCGCTACTGTGAACATTTCCATGACTAGATCTGGGGCTGAGTCCTGGGGACAGAGAGGGAGCTCAAATGCTCTTTGCTTTCTTTTTTCTTTATGGTGGGGGGAGATAATTAGGTTTATTCATTGATGTATTCTTAGAGGAGGTACTGGGGATTGAACCCAGGACCTCATGCATGCTAAGCATGCGCTCTACCACTTGAGCCATACCCTCTTTGCTTAATCACCTGGCCCACAATCATCACACAATTACTGATCAGGCATTTCTTTGTCCAGCAGCCTTTATTCTTTGTTCTCTGGGAAATGCTGGCTCTCAGCGGATCTTGACCTGAGCCATTGTAGTGGTGGACACGCAGGCCAAGCCAAGGGCATACTCATAAGCAAAGAAAAATAGCTGCCAATTGTCTGACTCCTTTTTGGAACATCGATAGGTAGAAACCAACTATGAAGAAAAGAGGAGAGGGTCTGCTAAGATGCCAGGATGGCAGGAGGAAGGGGTATGGCTTGCTCTGGTTGGAAAGAGAAGGAACAAATGGCAGATTGGAGGGCCCACTGGATTTGGAGCAAGATCCAGAAGGCTCTGCATCATGGTTTTGTCAATTACTAGCCATGTGGCTTTCGACAGGTTATTTAACTTCTCCAAACCTCAGTTTGCTCATCTGTAAGATGGGCATCTTTGTTCCCTTAGCCATTCAACAGGGTTGGAGTTATGTGGGTATTGTAAACTGCTTTACAAACTTAAGCAAGTATCACCAGTAATGGAGTTGTGCGCCTAGCATAACCAAAGCTGGTGGCAATCCTTGAAACAGTTTTCTGCAGTGTGCCTATTGGCAAATGTATTTGGAAGGCCTCCTGCACACTCCTGGTGCTAACCTTGGGGACGGATGTGGGGTGATGTCAGGATGAAATAACTAGGTAATCACAGATTACCTTGAAGATTAAATTTTGATGTGAAGATAAATAAATCCACTAAAACAAAAAGTAGTAGAGAACTTGCAAATGCAGTATTTGCCAATAACAAGTGACAGAAAATTGCTGTGTATACAGAATAGCTCTGAAAAATACATTTGGATACGACCAGTTTCTTGTATATTAATAGCCTATGTTATGTGCTGTGTCTCACTGGAGCCTCAGAGTACCTCAGTGAGCTTGGCCGTGCTGTTGATATTCCCATGTTACAGATGAGGAAATTGAGTCCACAAGCTAAGGAAATGACAAATTCACATAGCGAGTTTGTGGCAAAGCTGGGATTAGATTCTTGGTATTCTGACTCCTAGATCAGCATTCTCTTCTACGTGTTCGTTGAATAAACACTGAGTTTGAAACATCATAGACTTAGGGAATGACTAGTGGGCAAAGAAGGAATAGAACTATAGAGTGAACACTCACAGAGTAAGCAAGTATGAATATAGACATATTCTTTGGCAGAGCAATCAGCAGAACGCGGTGGAGGAGAGAGCTGGTGGGAGCAAAAGCTCTAAACTCTTAGTTTTGGTTATGACTCAGAGGAGGTTTGGTGCCCTCCTTATTGCAGGAGCACTGGGGTCTTTACAAAGGCCCTTCGTGTGTGCGCACGGACAAAAGCATTGGCAACACCCCACAGACACTCCCATTCCACTGTCAGCATCCACCCTGGGAGACCGGTGAGTGCCAGCGATTGTTGCTGGTTGTGGAGCGTGTCAAGCAGCCAGCTGGGTGTCCAGAGGGTGGATCCAACCCATCCAACTTCATCGAACATCTGGGAGCTAGAGCAGGAGTCTTGTTCCCGTGAAGTCTCCGAATGACACTCAATGGAGTTGGTTGTCTGTGTGGTGGGGAGGGTCAGGAGCAGCAAGAATATGATCAGAACAAAAAATTAGAAGGAACCTCCTCTTCCAATCAAAATCCCAAGAAATATGACCTCAAAGGGATTGGCTGCAATGGAAACAGCCTTGTGTGGCTTTCCCTCGGGCCCCTGTCACGCTGGCTCTTGGCTCCACCTGGGACAAGCTGTGGACATGTGAGAATGTGTTTATTTCCAGTGTTGATTACTCATTCCCACCCACTTCACTTCCCATCTTTCTCTTCTCCCGCGTCTACCGCCTGCCAGACACAGAAAGTCTTCCAGGAAACTAGAGCTCTCTGCATAAGTATGTGTATTCTCTCTGGAAAGGAGGCTTTCATGCTGCACAGATGACTCACATCCCCAAGAAAGTGCTCTCTCTTGGTTCCTGGACCACTGTGCTAACAGCCGTGTGGTTTTGGGGGAAAGAACAAAAGCAATATCTTTTACTGTCTGTTGCTTGGTGGTTTCAAAAACGTGTTCATATATATTCTCAATTGATTTTCAAGCCAACCATATGAGATAGGGTTAAATGTTTTCTATCCAGAGTCCTGGGGTACATGACCTTGAGAAAGTCACTCATCTCTCACTAAGCTCCATTTTTCAACCTGGAAAATAAGATGAATGGTCACATGCTTTTCCTCTACCTTTGCATGGAGAGCAATATTTTTTAAAATGTGGAATGAAGACAAAATTTTGCCCACTGTTTCTAACAGAAAGGGCAAATTCTCCCAACAATTCTTCGGAATGATCAGATCCTTTTAACTCTAAACTGTGGGGGTAATTAGGATGAATGACCCTGAAAACAGGAAGGATCTGGGAACAGTGCCAGTCTAGAAACTCGTAGGAGATGTTATTACTATATTTAATAATAATAGTTACCATTTATTGAGTACATACCACTTTCAAAACTGTGCCAGAAATAGTATATATATTATTCCATTTAATCTTTAAAAACAAACAAAACAGAAAAACGTTTGCAGATAAGCAAATTGAGATTCAGGGAGATTAAACAAAACATGCCTGAGCTTGCACAGCTTGTAAGAGGTGCAGCTGGGTCTGGCATTCAAGGCTCCCCTTCCCGAAGCCCACCTACCATTGCTCTTTCCTCCACAGGTACCATTTGATTTGTGGCTCAGTGTTGCAAAAATAATATCATCTTCCAGCGCTTCCTCATCCCAGTGGTTGATCCCATTTGTGTTCTTGTCCTAGATATCTGGCCATTGTCCACCCGCTGAGACCCCGGATGAAGTATCAAACAGCCATGGGCTTGATTGCCTTGGTGTGGATGGTGTCCATCCTCATTGCCATACCTTCAGCCTACTTCACAACCGAAACGGTCCTCATCATTGTCAGGAGCCAAGAGAAGATCTTCTGCGGCCAGATCTGGCCGGTGGACCAGCAGATGTACTACAAGTCCTACTTCCTCTTCATCTTTGGCCTGGAGTTCGTGGGCCCGGTGGTCACCATGACGCTGTGCTATGCCAGGATCTCCCGGGAACTCTGGTTCAAGGCCGTCCCTGGTTTCCAGACGGAGCAGATCCGGAAGCGACTGCGCTGCCGCCGGAAGACGGTGCTGGTGCTCATGTGCATCCTCACCGCCTATGTGCTGTGCTGGGCGCCCTTCTACGGCTTCACCATCGTGCGCGACTTCTTCCCCACTGTGTTCGTGAAGGAGAAACACTATCTCACGGCTTTCTACGTCGTCGAGTGCATCGCCATGAGCAACAGTATGATCAACACCGTGTGCTTCGTGACTGTCAAGAACAACACCATCAAGTACTTCAAGAAGATCATGCTACTCCACTGGAGGGCTTCTTACAATGGAAGTAAGTCCAGCGGCGACCTTGACCTCAAAACCATGGGGGTGCCTGCCACTGAAGAGGTGGACTGCATCAGGCTGAAATAGCTCCACCCTCTCAACGTTTAAACACAGAACAGGACCTTTGGGACACTGACCGGTGTGCTTAGGTACACACCATCAACCAAGAACTCTTGGTTTGCTGCAGAGGACGCAGTAAATGGACAAACATGGGAACACTGTATTCAAGGAGCTCCGGAATTTCTAAAACTGGTGGGACTAGACACCATTACCGGTGGCTGACACTCACTGAGCATCTAATTTGTGCAATGAGTAGGCACTGGTGAAACTTATATATGTTGATGACATTTCATTGACAAAAGAAATAGGGATTAAACCAAGAAACATATTGGTACACAGACAGTTTGGAATAATGGGGTTTCCAGAAGGCAACCACAGTAGGCATCTAAGGCCGTGGTACATGTGTTTGTAGGGTGAGGGTCTCTCTGGACCATCTCAGCTACTCATCAGACACTGATGCAGCCCAACTCTGGGACGGTTAATAAGCTTGAGTTCACTCCTAGCATTTGCAGGGCTGGGCAAGAATACAAAAATCCTCCTGGCTCTTTCTGGAAACTTCTCTTCTCATCCCTGGTCCTGACTCTCACCCTGGGCCCCCAGGAAAGAAACGGGACATCCAGATGGTTGGAGGGGTACCCAACAATGAGATTCAGTGCACCTATAGGCTTACTGAGGGCCCGTCCCTCTTTCTAGCTCACCTCCTTTGTTTGGCATTTTGAATTTTGGAATTTGCAAATTTGGAACCAGAAGATCTGATCCAGCCTTGGCTCCATCACCTGTGCGGACAAGGTAAAGCCCCTCGGTGGGGATGAAGACCATCCTTGTGATAGCTACCAGTGAGGTGGTTGTGAAGAGCCAATGAGATAATATATGGGAAAACTCTTTCAAGCATGCAAGTAATCAAAAGAATGAACCAATATCTGTTGTCGTGCCATGGACAAGGGAAGACTTGTCACCTTGGCTTATGTGTCTAGAAACACCACCATCCCTTTTCACTATTCTTTGTGTGAATTATTCCCTTACCCTTCTTAACAGTGCTATGCATGCATTATGTTCCTAATAACATGCTGTTACAACAAGGCAATGATATTTGGTGGCAGAAGTGTGAAAGGAAATGGGAGCTTGGTCTCCAGTCAGAAGATGAGCTCTGGGTTTTAGAAACTTCAGAATTAGAGCATCTTTGTGATCACAGAAATAGCGACTGATGTCTGTTCCTATGCCTGTTTCTAACCAGCCTAAATCTGAACAGTGTAATACTTGTTTCTCAGTCTCATTTTATTTTCATGACATGAAGGTGTACAGCTATAGAGTGGATTTGCCCTTTTCTTCTTAAATAATTCTAGAGCAGCATATTATAATGCTATTTAATTGACATGTGTTTGGCGTTTCCCCCTCCAACTATAGTCAACTCTTTATTTTTGGTAGCAAAGTTTATTTTTTTTAATAGTTACTATGTTTCCCTGGAAGACACATTTCAAAAAACTGTTTATTTCTTCCTATTCATCAGCCAGCAGACTTACCCTACAGTTTAACCGGAATACTCTTAGAGAATAAAAACTAATTCAATATTAGCCTAAAGCCAACATACTTTGAAAACAATTCTTATTTTTTATAAAATTACATATTGCATTCTAAAATTAAGAAAGTATTTGGACTAAAATATAATAAGATGATATAACTTGTCATTATGCTCATCTTTTCCATTAGGAATAACAAACAAGAGTTGACTGTATTAAATAGGAGGTTTTTTTATATGTGACAACCAAACCTCTTTCTGATTTTCAGCCTAAAATACCACATTTTCACTTGTTTACCCTTCTGTACTATTTCTAGATATTGTGTCTGTGATTTTACAGTGAATGAAAGTGTTATCAAGTGAAATTTAAAAATCTGTATGTATGTAATCCCTGACTGGAGTGTTCCTATAATTTCCACCCTCCCACATCCTGTTCCGAGTTATAGTGTGATGTGTTTTTGAGTGAGCCCTGCATAGTGCTGATTCTATGACCTTACGGATTCTGAGAACAATGCTGATGCATGCTCTTCTTGCCTACGAACTTCTCTCTGTCCTAACGAGATTTGACTGATTTATCTCTTCTTCCTGTAAGTCTGCTTTGGTAAAACCATTAATACTTTTTAGCATCTGAGTGCCAAGACTGGAGGTCCGAGGACCACTTTGTGCCTATTACAGAAGCTAGAGCTAAACCTTTGAATAGGTTCAATGTCTGCACGTGGAAGTTGAACCAGGAGATGAACCTCCGATACCACGTCACGTTCAAATTCGTGGCTGATTCATTGCACTGAGTGGTGGTCTGCCCCGCTGATGGCTTCTCCAAAAACTGGTGGACAGCCCAACAAGGTGGCACTCGCGTTGACGTGTTTCTTTTCTGTCCTCGAAATACTTTCATTTTGCAAAGAGATATCACATTGTCACATACTGAAGAATAAAAACACAATTTTGTAAAATCAAACCATCTTTTTTTCACTAAAGTGAAAGAGAAGGGCAGGTTTAGAACCAAGCTTTTAGAGGTTTTGCCTAGTGAGCAGACATTTAAAAAATATATTTCTTAAATCAGAGACACCATGGGAGTGGCGGTCACCACAGCAAGCCCTCAAGCGTGAAACAAGTTCCATGCTCATTGTGGAAAAGAATGCTAAAGAATTTGTGAGATTGCCAGCAAATTATAAATGTGCGTCCTGCTTCTTGAAAAATAGAAATTTTGGACTGTGTCCGTGAGGAATGAGTCTCGCTCTCTTTCCTGGAGTGTAAGAATATCGAATTCCAATCATTAATTTTTACAGTTAATGAAACCGAAGCCCAGAGTGGGGAAGAGAAGTTCAAGGTCACCCAGCTGGTCACTGTATGAGCCAGGGTGAGACCCCAAAGCTCCCGTGGAGCTCAGTCCAGAGGTTCCCTGCTGCAGCACTCCTGGGCTCGGGGAGCATCAATCTTGGAAAGAGAAGGATCCTTTCCAAGAACCCTTGAGGTGACTGTTCACCTTCACTCTGGCCTTCTCTGGAGACCCTTAAAGAGTTTAGCAGAGACATTCCTGGTTCTTTTGTGAGCCAAGTTGAGCTCATCCCACCCCTGGGAACTCAGCACAGACGTGGAGATCAGGAGGCTTTAGGGAAGAACTCCTAAAAAGTGATTACAGCTGGTCTATCCTTACCTTGCTTGGCTGGGGGTCCCTAAGGATATAAAAGAAAAGATACCAGGTCCCCATCCCTGAAGACAGCTGCCCCTCCGTAGAAAAGCAGAGGGGAGAGGTAAAGAAGACAGGCTTGGCCGGATGTCCAGATGGCCGGCAGGCCTATGTGTTCGGAGTTCAGCGGCATCAGAAGTGAAGATGAGAGGTGGGGAGGCTTTTTGGACAAGGTCAGACTTGAACTGAACTGGACAAGTGGGGTGTAGAGAAGCAGAGTGCAAGCACTCTGCAGGGGAAGAGAAACATTACCTTTATCTGCTCTTGGAAACCAAAATGATTTTTGCTAGGGAGAAGAAAGTCTTCTCACACAATGATAGGATTGTCATCCCTGGAAGAGGGAACTAAAACCAGAGAAACACTCAGAAACCTAAATAATCTTGCAGCCTTATCTGAGAGGGGGTTCTCGTACGAGGATGAAAAGCAGGGAGGAGAGACAGAAAGTAACCTTATGAAGCAGGTCTGTGTGATGGTGTGAGGGCGGCATCTCATCATTAGGGGGAAAACAGGAGAAAGGATGCTGAGGAGGAAGTTGCTGGAAACAAACGTGGCCGGCTTTATTGCTAACAGCGCGGGGCACCCACCGTGGGTCAGGGGCTGAGCCGAAGCCCTTTACAGGAATTGTCTTGCTCGTTCGTACTCGCCCCTGCAATTGTCTTGTTACAGATGAGGAAATCAAGCCTCCACTCAGAAAGGCTGCTCAAAGTCACGCGAGGCATAAACAGCGGACTGAGATTTGAGCCCCAGCAGTTCGACTCCAGAGCACGAGCTCATGATCTCCCTGTGCTGCAGCCTTTAAATGATTTTCCTAGGTCCTCCGTGTGCTTTCTCATAAGCCAACTGAATGCCTGCCGCCCTAAGTCCTATCATTAAGTGATAAATCTCTCTCAGGTCAAGTAGACTTCCTCAAAACCTGAGCATAGCACAAGTCCCACTTGGTTTTTTTCCTTCTGTGAAAAGTCTCATTCACCCTCGACAGCTCACCCTGATACAGAGTCCTTAAACTTTGAGTGTCATGGGTGCAGGTGCTTTTGGCATCCAGTGACGCTCATAGCCCCTTCGCAGAGCAATGTTTTCAACAAAATGTGATGTGTGTGTATATATATACTGGACTATTATTCAGCTGCAAGAAGGAATGACATTCAAACATGCTACAACATGGATGAACCTTGAAAGTATCATTCTAAGGGAAATAATCCAAACACAAAAGGACAAATGTTGTATGATTCCACTTACGTGAAATACCTACAATAGGCAAATTCAGAGAGACAGAAAGTAGGTTAAAGGTTACCAGGATCTAAGGGCAGAGTGGAATGGGGAGTTACTGCTTAATGGGTGCAGAACTTGTGTTTGGAGTCAGGAAGAAATTTTGGAATTAGATCATGGTGATGGACCCACAACACTGTGAATGTGATTAATGCCACCTAATTGTACACTTGAAAATGGTTAAAATGGCAAATTTTATGTTTTGTATATTTTACCACAATAAAAACATTTTCTGCCCCCCCCCCAAAAACCCCACAAAAAACCCAACCGAAAAAAACAGTGTTTTCAAATTCATTAAATAAAATAGACAGGGATGCCAGAAAAATTAATTATACTGATATACACTTATCAAAATATTTAAAAAATTTAGCCTGTAATTGTATGAATATTTATATTAAATTCCTTCATGTTAAATCTTCATTGAAAGCCTTAAATTATCAGACAAATATCAGGGCTGAAAAGTACCATAATTTTGAAGCAGTGATGACTGTGAATGACATTTTGTGATCTCTTACCAAACCGCAGTGGAACGTGAAATATCTGGCATTTCCCTTGGGGCCAGTTTCAGGGACTACTCTTTCTAGAGCTGCTTGTTACCTATGTCAGAACAGCAGGAAACGCTAAAGTTGAGTTACAGGTTGGTGAGAATGACAAGGAATGTTTTTCTATCCGTGTTTATGGCCCCTGAACTGGTTAAGAGCCTGAGGGGAGGCCAAGGCAAGCGCGCCCCAGACTGGGCGCTGGTAGAAATGGAGACGGCGGCGAGGAAGACGTAAATGGAATGAAATCAACAGATTGGGCACATTTCTTTTTTAAATTAAAAAAAATTTTTTTTTATTAAAGTGTGATTGGTTTACAGGGCTGTGTGGGCACTTTTCTTATAAAGTCACCTCCACAGGCACTGGGGTTCCCCCACTCTCTGCCCTGTGCCTTCTCGGCACAACCCCCCTCCGTGTGGCAAAGATTCACCCAAGAAAGCAGAGACGATCTCTCTCCTGCAAATCTGGAGATTCAGGACTCTTGTCGCACAGTTATCTGACAGCTGTTTGTTGTCCTAAGCTGTGATGTTGCAAAAATGAATAGGACACACTTCCGGCTCTTGTCCCTTAATGACCGGTCGTATGGAAACCAGGCATTTGGTTGCTGGGAAGCACGAGGTGGATTTACTTCTCAAGTCGACTGCTTGCTCTTTTCTTGTTTGTTACTTTCTGCTGTTAGATGAATGATTTTGCTTCTGCTTTCCTCATTTTAATTTTGTTGGCTTTTTCATATTTTCTTGAATTGAACATACACTTCTTTTTATTCTTTCGTGGGTCCTGCACGTGGCTAAGGGAGTGAGTTTTTGTCTGAGTAGAGCTTCACTCTCGGTTGGAAGTGTAGAATATCTTTAGCTCAGAAATATATCTTTTTATTTTATTATGTTTGATAAGTGTATTTCTTGGTTCAGGGCTTCCGTATTTTCTTTCTGTATTTAAGATTTCCAGCATTTTTGTGTGTATTTCCTTTTGTCTCCCATGATATTTCTTTCTTCCAGAGTAGACTGCTCATTTTTCTTTTGCAGGTCTTTCTTTTTTCTTTTTCTTCTCCTCTCCTCTTTCTTCCTTGTGCTCGTCCTTTTTCACATAAATGTGTATTGCTTTATTTAACTCACCTTGGGCAGAACCAGCTCTCCTGTCCAAATATAGAATGAGTGAATTCCCCTTGATTCCACTCCCTCTCTGTTCCCTTCCACTGAGCTTCAACTAGCTAGCTTGTGCTCCACGTTCTGCTTTGCTGAGGATGGAAAGAGAGAAATGTTCGTTTTGGCTACTGTGATATAGAATATAGTAGTAGTAAAATAATAATATATACTATTAATTCTAATGAATCAAGTGTGTCTGTATACTCTATTAAGCACTTCGCAAGCATGATTGATTACTTAGTCCTCATAACTCTATGAGATGGGTGGTAACATCGTTCCTGAAGGTCCTTTGCCTTGTGGTCTCAGCCTATGGTTCAGAACCAGGATGGTTTGGTTTCAGAGTATGGAGTCCCTAGGGGATGCATTATTTTGTAAACTTGCCTCTTCCACCTTTGTATTGAAAGCAACCAGACCAAGGATTGGAAGAGATACCTCTGAATGATATTGATATGGAACTACCCTATCTGGCCTTTCCTTTTTCCCTTCTACATCTACCTATGTACGGAGGAGTGTTAAGACAAGGACTCCACCTTTTAGCTGCATTGTGATGAGAATTCTAAGCACAGCAGGTCTCTGAGTTTTTGTCCTGTCTCCAAAAGGCAACAGGCAGGGCTGGTGGACCCAGTGGTGCTGTCAGCTTCCACACACTGCTGATGGAAAAGACCCCAAACTGGCCACCAAGGTGGGATCTCTGAGGCTGTGGATAGTAGAGAATCGAGCACCCATAACTCTGTTTCAAAGTTAGACTCTCTGAATTATTTATACCAGAAAGCTAAAATTAATAGACTTTTTTGTTGGGAGTAAGCTTGCAGAAACCCAGGGTTAGAACAGTTCTCAGCATGAGGCATTAAAATGTATGTCTGTAGCTCTGACCCTTTCATTTAGGAAGTGGGTTGACCAAAGTCTTCTATGAACTTCAAGGAAGAACAGTTTGAGCATCAATAAATAATAAACAACCAAATGAGTACATTTTATTTTTTAAGAGCACTAAAAAATATAGAGGACATAAAAGGTCACCTTTATCTGAACACACAGAGAAATTTATAGAATCCTTGAATTAGAACAGGTATTTGAATTTTAGTGTGATTAATTTTTGGATTCCACCAAGAAAAAAATGTCTCTAGACTCTTAAAATGGCAGTTGGTAATGAAAACACTAATTTGAAAAGATACATGCAATGTTCCTAGCGGCATTATTATCAGTAGCAAAGATATGGAAGCAACCTGAGTGTCCATTAACAGATGACTGGATACAACTTAGGCATAAAAAAGAACGAAATTTTGCCATTTGCAACAACGTGGATGGACTTGGTATTATACTA